TAAATTGCTGCAGCTAAATCTGCAAACGTTCATCTCTGACACGTAAGTCCCATCTTCTTAACAGACATGTTGGCACTAGAATGATTAGGCTCATTTTATATCCATGTAGTCATCTTAAATGCATTCCCTTAACACTTCTGGTGGTTCCTAGGTCTGTCTTACTAAAAAGCAGTGTAGCAGAATCACTAGGCTACAAGCCTTGACATTTCTATATGCTTCTTAGCTGTTTATTTCTTATCTCAGTGTTTTTAAATCACCAAAAAAGGTAAGTAAATACCCCTCTCTTTCCAAAGAAAAAGAAACGGAAATGCATCTGTGACTCTGTATTTAGACATCCTGCACAAAAGCAGAGCTCTGCATATACTGTTGCTCTTACTACTGCGCCGTGCAGTGTCATCACTGAACAAATTTTATCATCAGAGTGAGATCCTTAGGCATCTTAAAGTATTGTAGGAGTTTTTCATGAACAACGTTACAAGTGCCAACAGTTAAAATATGTTTTGTGATGAAAATTGAAAGTATTTCAGTGGCTGGCTTAGTTTTCCATTAAAGCTGGCAGCAGTACTTCCAATTTTATCTTTATTTAGAAGGGTAAATGTTCCTTTATGAAACTTCGGAGTATATAGGCACTTTGGAATGCCTACGGAGTATGAGTGTGCTGGCAGGCAGAGGTATGATGGTTAGTTACGTAGACAAGTTTGAGACATTCAGTCACCTCTCCTCAGAAATAGACAGCTTTATGTTTTTGCATGCTGAAACTTTATCTACATGGGAAAGCTGGTCAACTGTAAACTCTGTTTACTGCATGTAACTGTCCAGTATTAATGCAGCATGTTATCAGTCTTAATAGACATTAAACATAAGATAGTTTGTTCCATTGAAAGTGGAGCAAACTCCACCAGACACAGTTTAGACAAAGTTTTTCAAAAGTAATTAATTCTCCTTCAGAGGCAGGTTGAGCTCACACTTGCATGTGCTAACAGGGAGCCTGTCAGATAGTAGTTAGCTTTGCAAATTCATACTTTGTGCTTACTGCTCACAGCCTTCCCTATATAGACTATCCCAAAGTCCTTAGATTTTCTAGGAGTCTTTGGAGAGATTTGCCTTCTTTCTCAAAAGAATTTTATTTGAAATCCAAACATGCTGAGAAATTGAAATGGCCATTTAGAGCACTATAATTTCACGTCTTATAGTTGTTGCCATTTGTGAAAAAGATACATAAGATGCCTTTAAAGTTCACAGAGGTCCTTTTAATCATAAGCAGATAGTTATTGAATGTTTTGGTTTGCACTCTTAACTGCTATTTTCCATACTTAACTGTGTTTACAGTTCTTTTAGTTGAAATGTTATTTGTATTTTTTGGGCGTCAAATTCTTGTTGGAATTTTTACCATCTCAATATATTTTACTCCAAAATGTTTTATTTGGGATTATACAGCAAATGTGGTGCTTTTGAGGATTACCCTTTTTGATGTTAAGAAAATGATAAAAGCATGCTATGTCCTCCTTTCACTGTACCCACATAAATCAGTTCAGTGCAAAAAAGCTGCATCTGTTACTATGATTGAGGTGATCCTGCAGCAGATTGAGTGATCTGTTACTAGTTTCTAATGTACTGGGACTTGATGACTAACACTGATCATGGTATAGCGGTCTGTAGGTATCTGTTACAAAGATGAATTTCCTAGAAGAGAGGAAAAAACCTATAGGGAGCTTTTTTTGTCATCTTTCAATTACTAAGTCTTGTAATGTTCACTTTCAAGTGAAGTTTCTACACCTATTACATTCATAAAAATGAAGAGTCTTAACACCTTTTTTTTAATTGGGACTGTGTGTTCTTGCTAGTAGAAGTATTAAAATAACTTCAGTGTGTGGTGTTAGGACGAATGCATTGCAAATACACAAAAAAGAAACTGTTGTAAACTTAAAGTTCATTCTTGAAGTTTAGCTGATCTGTGTCTTCAAAATTTGCTTAGCAAATTAGCAGAAATTTGCCTGCAGCTTTCCTGGGAGAGTAACGGGAAGTGTATTCTTCTGGTCAAATCTTGCATTTTGATTGTTCGAGTATGCTGTTCATCAAGCTCCTTATAGGTGAGATCTGCAGTTCGTGTTCAGTAGCAAAACGTTGAGCATTTTTTCTACAAAAATCCTAAACCAGCTTTTAATGCAGGTT